TTTTTTTTTCCTTTTATCCTACTTTTTATCTGAAACCAGCTGGATGTCTAACAGGAAGGAACTTCCAGCTTTTATGGCAACAGGAATTCAAAATTGGACTGGACTCAGTCCTGGGCTGACCTTGCTTGGGCAGGGTGGTTGGATTAGATGATTTCCAGAAGTTCCTTCAGCCTGAGCAGTTCTGTGCTTCTCTAAAGTGACTGGCCAAAATTTTCTGCCAGTCCATTGTTTCCTCTGAATTTGTTCCTCCATCAACATGCAAAGTTGATCAAAGTGACCTACAAGAAAGCTGGTGAGGGACTTTTTACAAGGGCTTGGAGTGATAGGATGGGGGGTAATGGCTAAAAACTGGCAGAGGGGAGATTTAGATTAGAAATGAGGAAGGAGTTCTTCACTCTGAGGGTGGTGAGACACTGGCACAGGTTGCCTAAGGAAGGGTGGATGCTCCATCACTGGAGGTGTTCAGGGTCAGGTTGGATGGGGCCTTGAGCAAACTGCTGTAGTGGGAAGTGTCCCTGGCTGTGGCAGAGATGTTGGAACTAGATGAGCTTTAAAGTCTTTTCCAACCCAATAAGTCTCTATGAATCTATGATTCTAAGGTAGAAACTGCAGAGTAAGAGAGCAGAGATAAACTTTGAAAGCTAAGGATTGGGTCAGGACTGTAGACTAAAAAGCCAAGCCAGTACCAAGAACTTAATAATGGTTAAATTACTGGGAAGATTGATGATGATGATGGCCACACTGAACAGCAATAGGAACACACAGAATCTTATTTCCCTAAATGTCCCTTCTTGAGCCCAACTTTACAAAAATCCAACCCTCTATCCCAAGGCTCTGCCCTCCACATGAGATGATATTGGTAGAACCACCACTGTCACAAAGAGAAGCAGGAGGAGAAGCAGCAAAGACATGACTAGATGGGATTATTTTATGATTTCAACCATAGCACAAGAGGTGACTAGATGTGATTATTTTGTGATTGGATTGTGTCACACTTCCCTGCTTTTTCCCCCCATTTCTGCATTTTACCTTCATGTAAAATTGTGCTCTAATCTCACACAAAAAGATTACATCTGACCTGAAGAACATGTAGTGCACACAGCCCAGCTAAAATGCTGTGTTCAGGATGGGGGTACCAGGTCCTGTAGCTAGTGAAAATTAATTTAATTTTCCACTGTGTGAACTCCTCTTGCACAAAAACATTAATCCATTTTTCGAAGCCAAGCATGAATTCACTTTTCAAGGCAATGAGTGAAAAGTGGGATGGCCAATGTGAAATTGAGCTCCTCTTTTGACTGTTACTGTGCTGGAAGGAGATTAGAAAGGCACTGTTGCCCCTGCTAGAAAAAGAAAAATGTCCTGACCTCAGTGAAAGTGGAAGTGGATGGGTTAAGACATTTTTAGGCCACTGTGAGATGATATTTCACAGAGGAGTAATTCTGAGTGGAAAGACTGCATCAAAAAATTACTGCAAATAGCCCTAGCATCAGAAACAATGATAGAATTTTTTTGTTGGAAGAGACCTTCAAGATCACTGAGGCCAACTGTTAACCCAGCACACCTCACTTCTCAATGTACTAGTTGTATTTTCTTTACTAAAGGAAATTCAGGGAAACAATATTCACTCAGCTTTTGACAGCTCCTCTCAGAGCCCATCTGAGCCCCCATGGCCATGGTATGAGGGGCAACTGCTGCCTCCTTTACCTGCTCTTGCTGCCCAGGTAAGAAATTAAAGCCAGTGCCCCAACTGCAGCAGCCCATGGTGCTGTGGAACACTGAGGACTGTGTTTATAGGAAGAGAGCTGCTGCAAGCTTTTACAAACCCTTCCCGTCATTCCTACTCTGTCCCAGAAACTTGGAGCACTAAGGACACTGAGGTCAAGGTGGCCAAGAAGGCCACCAGCATCCTGGCTTGGGTCAGCACTGGTGTGGCCAGCAGGAGCAGGGCAGGGATTGTCCCCCTGCACTCAGCACTGGGGAGGCTGCACCTCAAATCCTGGGGTCAGTTTTGAGCCCCTCCCTCCCAGAAGGACCTTGAGGGGCTGGAGCGTGGCCAGAGAAGGGCAATGGAGATGGGGAGGGGTCTAGAGCCCAAGTGTGGGGAGGAGCAGCTGAGGGAGCTGGGGGTGCTGAGCCTGGAGCAAAGGAGGCTCAGGGGAGACCTTCTGGCTCTGCACAGCTCCTGACAGGAGCCGGGAGCCAGGGGGGGGTCGGGCTCTGCTCCCAAGGGACAAGGGACAGGACAAGAGGAAAGGGCCTCAAGTTGCCCCAGGGGAGGTTTCAGTTGTCCCTGAGGAACAATTTCTTGCCCTGGAGGGTTGCCCAGGGCTGTGCCAGGCTGCCCAGGGCAGTGGTGGAGTCCCCACCCCTGGAGGGGTTTCCAAGCCATGGAGATGTGGGGTGAGGGACATGGGGCAGTGGGGACCTGGCAGGGCTGGGGGATGGTTGAACTTGATGATCTTAAAAGTCCTTTCCAAGCTAAATGGTTCTGTAGCCTAAGGCAAGGTAACATCAGCTCCTTTTTGCCCTGCACTTACTCCCACAACAGAGGGGATGCTGGGATATTTGTTTCCTGCTTTTTTGGGCAAAAGGATTTCATTTCACAAGGAAAGCAACCAACAGCTCCCAGATCTGACAACCAACCACGACAACTCGCAGCCGGGTCAGCCCAGGAAACATCCAGCTAGCCAGAAATCAAGACCAAACATCAAGCTACCTTGTTGCTTCCTCTATTTTGGGAGCATTCACCCCTTTAGGTAGCTGCAGACAGACGATGTCTGTTTGTCATGGGAACACCATCTGCCCAGTGGGTTCCGCAGCAGGCAGGAGAACCTGCAGGAAATGATTAACCCCGCGGTGTCTCCTGCAGGCAGCTCTCCCCCAGGAGGGGGCAGGGGGGCAGGCCTGGAGCAGCTGCCTCCTCCAGCTCCCCCATCAGCAGCTCTCCAGAGCCAGTTACCGTGGCATCACCCTCTGATGGCAGAGATGATGCAACGCTTGAGTGGACTAATGAATTTTTAACCTCGGGTTCGCTGGCTGTGCCTGTGCAAGCAGCAAATTCCAGCCACCACAACCCCGTGGAAGGTTTGCACAGAACACAGGATCAGCCACAGTTTAGGGGAGTCTCATCTCAGAAAGGGATAGTCAAATATTTGAAGGTAAGTAAAAAAAAATCAATGCTTCAAAAAAAATGCAGCCTTGTTCTGTAAGTGGATGATACTCTCCACAAAGCTTTACATTTCCCCCTAATTTAACAATATATTTTACTAATGTGCTTGAAGGATAGAACTATTTCCCCCCCCCCCAGCTTTGGAAATCTGTTTCAATTATAAGTCTGGATAGTTTAATTAGGGAAGTGAGTTTAGTTGCAGGAGGAAAAAAAAATTGGATGGGTTAGAAGAAAAACCCTTCTAATACTCCCTAGGGTCTCCGGGTCCTTCAACCCAATTTGCTGTGAATGAAACCATTATTGTTCTTTTGACTCCTGCTGAGCCATTATGTTAACGGTTTTTTGGAGATTTGAGTAGCATTTTATGACATGTTTTCCCTTTTAGCTCTTAGGCCTCAAGGTTGAGAACAGTTTTTATTCAGCATTCTGAGAAAGAAGCAGCCGTTTGATTTTGTAGATTCTCGGGCAGATTTTAGGCTGGCACGTGGGGGATATTTGAAATTCACTGAGAGAAGTGCAAGTCCCTCTTTTTCTTTCTTTTTAAGCATGGGTTTAACATATTAAAACCTGCAGCAATGAAGGCTCAATCAAGCAAATGACACTGAACACACCCACCAACAGATATTTCCTGCTATAAGAATGCTCACGCATTGGCTGGGAGGGAAGAGTCACACCCTAATAAACTCTAACAGAGAAAAAAAACAACAAAAAGGGTTAAAAAATAATAAAAGGATTATTATCAAGCTATATACGCCAAACCAAACCTCTAAGTGCTATTTTACTGCATTAAAATGTGAGCTTTAATGATCCAGCTGTTGGTTTAACTGCTTCAGAGCTAAAAAACTAAGTCTATGAATATAATTCCAAACCCAGTTTGCTGCTTTGGCTCAAAAAGGAAAGTAGACTTCAAGTAATTAATACTCACAATACTTCCCTTGGCAACTGCACCACCATAAATGCTGAGGTAAAGAGTGGACAGGCTGAGATCTAGTGCTCTGAGAGGCTTCTGCTCCAGTGATAACTCAGTCAAATAAATTGAGCAGGTAAGTATAATTTTCTTGGAAAACCCAAACTGATGAGCTGTAAGCTCTGGTGTTCTTCAGGAGACATTTCAAGTGAGATTTTACATGTTTTTGTCACATGTGTAGACTGTTCTAAAAGGAGTACAAAACCTCTAGGCTAATCAAAGCCACAAAAAGTCTAGAGATGAACATCAAAAACTAGAAAAGGCAGCAATCAGGCTGATGACAACTCAGTTTAAAGGCCAAAATTCCTTCAAAGCAGAACTTTCAACACATGACTAATGACCAAAACTAAACTCATTAAGTCCTGCTCTTGAAGCTGGTTTAAAAATAGCATCTTTATATCCTGCATAGATCCCACAGAGCCCAGAAACTCTGCAAAAAAAACCATCAAGCAGCTGATACAATCCTCCAGTTTTCCAATAATACCTCATCTAGAGGGTAGACGTTAGGAAAAAGTTCTTTCAGTATGAGGGGGACAGACCACTGGAATAGGTTGCCCAGAGGGGTGGTGGAGGCCCCAACCCTGGGGACATTCAAGATGAGGCTGGATGAGGCTTTGAGTAGCTTGATCTAGTTGGAGATGTCCCTGCTGATGGTGGGGGGTTGGACTAGATGGCCTCTGGAGCTCCCTTCCAGCCCAGACATTCTATGATCTTCCAGAAGGCCTAAAGCATCATCCCAATAATTGAAGCCTGGCACGAACCCCTCTTTGTAGAAGCAGCAACACGTTCAGTTAGGGATGACAAGCCTTAACCCACCCCCTCACGATCCATGCCCTCTGGGGAAGGTCACGGTGGTTTCCTCACCTGATAGGGACAGGGGATGTGGTACTCCCTGCAGCGTTCCTGGATCCAGGTCGTCTCCCACACCCCTCTGTAGGCCTGCTCATAGAAATAGCAGCCAATAACCACCAGCAGTGGCACGAGGTACAGCACGCTGAACACGCCGATCCGGATCATGAACTTCACCAGCTTGTCCTGGTTCTCCTTCTCCAACGGGATTTCAATGCGGACCCGGTTGAGGGAGATAATCCCAGCCAGCAGCAGGGACACTCCAACCACCACGTAGAGGCAGAGAGGGGCCAGCACAAAGTATCTCAAAGCGTCCACGTCGTAGAGGCCGACGAAACAGACGCCGCTGATGTTGTCCCCTTCGATTTTATTCATGGCTAGGAGGATGATGGTCAGAGTGCCCGGGATGCCCCAGGCGCTGGCGTGGAAGAGCAACGCCTTCTTCTCGATGGCTTCGCTGCCCCACTTGGGGACAGCTGCCAAGAACCACGTGATGGTGAGGATGACCCACCAAACGCTGCCGGCCATGGTAAAGAAATAAAGCACCATGAAGAGCATGGTGCAAGCTTTGTTGTGAGAGCCCTGCGTCACCGTGGAGGCCTTGTACTGGGCGGGGCTGGACGCGTTACACGCGACTCGGTCTTCCAGCAGGAAGCCGATGAAGAAAATCAAGGACACCATCATGTAACAGACAGCATAAAATATGATCGGCCTCTCTGGGTAGCGAAATCTCGTCACGTCGATGAGGAAAGTTAAAAAGGTGAACAAGGTGGCAGAGAGGCAGACGATGGAGATCACGCCGATGAAGTAGCGAGCAAAGGAGAGCTCCTCACGCCGAAAGTACATGTTGGGGCAGGGAGGGGAACAGTCCCGTACCCTCAGGAAGGAGTAACCCAGGTCAGGCTCTATTTTCAGCTCCCGAGGACACCAAAACCCATAGTCCCTCTGCACTGCCATGGGGGCCTCTTCTGTGGGCTCCCCAGCTAGATTGAGGTCAACGAGACGAGGGTACGGCTCATCGCAATCTGGGAATCTGAGAAGTGAGAGAAGAATTATTTACCAAGGTGCCTGCACATGCTTTGTGAAGATTGGTCATTTTATTTACATGTCTGACTTCAGGCAGCTAACTGGAATGAAAACAGAAATAATCCAAACAATGGGTAACCCACCCAACACTGCACTAGGTATACACAAACTCTAGAACTCGTCCCAGGATTCGGTGGATGTTGAAACTATAAAATAGGTTTAAAATTAAAACAGAGAAATAAATGGGCAAGGGCCCCACTGGAGCTTTAAGCCTACAGGTGAGGATGAAAAAGCCCTCTCAGGAAGCCTGAATTTAGGCTTACTGTAAACTGAGAGTATGTGCCCAAAGAAGCATCATTTTATAGAATATTCTAAAAGCTTTCTCTAAGCAACTGTATTAGGTGCTGTCAGAGAAGATGCTGAGGTAGTGAGACAAAAAATCCAGCCTAGCACTGCTACTAGCTTTAATAAATTGAAATTATGATGAAGAGATTTCTGTGAGTAAGTCAAGCCCTGACTGGAGGCTAGGGACCACTGGAGGTGGGAGTTTTGAAGGAGAGACCACATGGATTCCACACAGAGCTGCGCAGTTCCTCCCTCTCCTAGACATTATCACCTCAGCAAGCCCAGAATAAGCCAAATACGCCTGGTCCTAGGCCACAGTTCATGTTCTGGCACAATGGCACTAACACAACACCACCAAAGTTTCAGTAGTTTTAGCTCCCATTTTGAAATTTCACCATCTGGACCTAACTGAGGAGATGGAAGGACCCAAAGGACCCAGGCATCTGTTTGGAGGAAGGAGTTTGAGCCATCCTTAATCCAGATTATCAGGACCCAGAACCCTGCTCTGACCTATTCTTTTGCTAAAAGGTTTAATTGTTTTTCACTCTCTCCAAGTGTAGGAGAGACAATTTGTTCCTGTTTGTGCTCCTGTATTTTATTAGCTGTTGGAGTCACTTATAAAAAACAAGAAAGCAGAAGGATATTGTTTATAATCTCATGTATATTCTGTTTCAAATAGATTTGAATATGATTGAATATTGTTCTGTAAAGTTATTTGTGTACTGTGAAGCTGAACACATCTGTTTGTACATGAGCCCAACAAGAGGTAGGTGCTCTGAAAAGAGAGCTTTGAGATTTTATACACTCAGCAAAACCTCCCCCTTCAGCAAAAGGGACTATTAATCTCAGGCATTTGTAATTTTGCCTAATTCTTAGGGAAATTTATACTCATATCACCTATTAAACTTCGGTAGAGGAGACAAAGCCAGGTTGGCATAAATGAGAAGAAGCAAAATAGATGGGTATCTATCCATTCATTTAAGAATATGCCCGTGCAGTAATTGCCCAGAGAAATTTTCAGCTTCTCTCTTGGGCAGATGATTAGAAATATGAACTCAGTTTCCACCCCAGAAAATGGGCTGTTGCACAAACGGAAGGGAAAACAGGAGCCCTTGTGATGGAACACATTTAAAACCTCTGTTTCAGATCATAAAACATCCTAGATGGGATGGGATTATCTCTGCTGGGGACATGGGCAGTGGCACTGAGTGCACCCTCCCCAAGTTTGCTGAAAACACCAGGCTGTGTGGTACGGCTGGCACGCTGGA